TGGTTTTTCCAGAACAAAGGCTAATGGCAGAGTAGTACTCTACTGGAGATAGGATCTTACAGTTCGTCCCGTAGCGGCTATCGGCGAATCTGATCTTGGCACAGAGCTGCTCTGTCGCAAGAGGAATTATGACTGCAAATCGCTTTGGTTGGCTTTGTCTATAAAGCCCCGTGGAGTCATGGCGCCTCTGTACTAGACATTATGAATTCGCACAGAAACCGCAGAGAATGTCGCATTGTGGGTGCCTTCAATACTCCGCATATCTATTGGGAAATACTATACTGCTGTCAAATTCCAGAGTACTTTGAAACTGTCTTCAAAACGAATCTCTTCCAAAAGCACCCACCCAGCTTCTTCCCGACCAGACTACGCAACTTCTTGGGTTTGTGCCCAATCCGGTTCTGTCTGTTGTATCGGAAGTTACGCTTATACAGCCCACTGGAAAAAGCCACTATTGAAAGATCTCTTTCTTATGAAGCAAACCTCTAGCTATTCAACCCTGGACCACACGTCGTCGCTACTTCTGGTGAACCGACGCATACAAGTTACGAGCGATAGCGCGTACGCGGGGCTGGAACGTTCCACAACAGTTGGCACTCGATGCCGCTTGGAACGATCTACACTCCAAGTTGAAGCCGCTCATCGAGGAAGTCGTCCCATTCCCAAGTAACAATCCTCCCTCTAAGTGTTCCTCACAGATTCACCGAGAACTCGTGGCTAACATGAAGCAACTAGGAAAGCTATGCGACAGATCCAAGTATCCCGCTAGACTCAGGTTAGAGTAAATACTAGGCATCCTGGAATTTCTGCTCCTTGCAGAAACATGAAAGAGGCGACGATATGAACATAGCTTGGCTGAACAAGCCGTTTCTAGATCAAGGCACCTAGTCTCATACTTTAATAGACCCTCCAAGTTCGGCTGTGGAATTCCTGCTTTGTCCAACATATTAGCTTGACATCATCCTCTATCGTGAAGAGGCCAAGTCTGATGTCTTGGCCCTACACTTCTCCACATTATACAAAAGGGTCGACACACTGACAAACAATCATGTACTTGTACATCCAGAACCACTGGAACACATTGATATAGATGCAGGTGTTAACTTTAAGCTACTAACATTTCCCGGCCAAGTTGTACTCTTAAGAAACAGAAATAATCTGAGGGGCAATCAACATGAGTCTACTCAATTAATTTATTCCGTGCGGACGCCAGACAATTGTGCAGATGTGTAGGTGCGCGTGTATAGCCCGTCGCCTTCAGCCAATTGGACCTCAGACGCACTACGTGATAGGGGTGCAGGTGGGACGTTTCAGCTCCTCCGCACGGAACACATTAATTGTGCAGACTCATGTTGAATGCCCCCTCAGATTACCTCTGTTGCCCAAGAGGACAATTTGGCCGGGAAATGGTGTAGAACTGCAAGCAGGTTCCTCCTCAGGACCAGATGTGCTAAACTCACATTTTCTCAAGATGGTGGCAGAATATATTGGCGCCACATTTTGTCAAATTTTCTGCTTTCTCTTTATGATGGCCGACTACCTCTTGACTGGAATAAGCGCGTAGTTATGTCTGAAAACAAGGGTGGAAATTGTCAGGACCCTGCGAACTATCAGCTGAGTTGCCTGACGTAGGTCGCCTAAAAGAGCAGGGAAAAGCTCATTACATGTGCCATCCAAGGTAACTGCAAAGACCTGAAAATCATTTCGTCCACTCAGCATGACGTCCGAATGGAAAATTCCTACAACACTAACCAGCTTGTCAACCGCAAGAAGTGGGCAGAGGCAGCGGACGCTGGAAAACACTTACATGTGGTATTTACCGATTGCTGCAAAGCATTTAACAGGGTCCCTCAGCAGCTACTACTAGCTAATCTCTGCGGACTTGGCATAACAGGGAAGGTCCTACTATTAATCAGTGACTTCTTGCAAGACCGGAACATGCAAGGTAAGGTAAAGGATACGTTCTCGTTTCCAGCCCCATGTCCAGTTGTGAACCACAATGTTCCGCCCTCGGACCAGGATTGTTCATGCTCTACCTAAAGGAACTAGCACGTTTGCTAAAACGGACTGTCAGATCCATGCAGACCACCTCGAGCTATCGTCGGAAGTGTTCATACTTGAAGACGCCAAGTGACAACAGGAAACGCTTGATCTTCTGCACGTCTGGTCTATCAAGTAGGGTTTGCCGGGCAACAATTATAAGTGCTGCTGAACCAGTGGGCATTTAGCATATTAGCGAGTACTGACGCAAGACCGCCACCCAGGAAAAGGACATGGGGACAATAGTATCACCCGACCACAAAACTAGCCGTAACCCCTTAAAGAAGACTGCTGAGGCGAACAGGTGAGGCGTCCTAAGGAGCTCATTCTCTAAAATGACGCCGCAGATATTCAGACTTCGCTGCACCTCCCATATTTGCCCAAGCCTTGAATTCGGACCTCCAGCCATGTAACCCTTACGATGCATGAAATTAACAAGGACGAAAAAGTTCAACGACAGGTCACGAAATATGCCCTTGGGCAACGCGAACTACCAATCCCGCTCGAATACACGATAAACCTTTTCCACCTAGACTATCGCCGTCGTCGCGGAGACGTCATCTATACTAGGGTAGGCTTAGGAGGTAAATGGGGAAACGAGCTTAGGCAGCTTTTCAGCTAAGACTTAGCAGTATAACTCTAGGTCACAGCTGCAAGCTCTTAAAACATGGGAAGTCCAAAGTTCGTTCAGAAGTTGCTCTCCCTACTCGCGTAATAACTGACTGGAACCGACTTCGATCAGATGGCCAGTGAGCAATCAGAAGCTGGCTTCAATCCTTTGCTGGATACCTGCCTATAGAGAACTCCAGGCTCCTGCAGGACATACCACATCATGTGCGACGCCACAGCAACCACGCCTGCAACCCCTGAACGAGTGGGAAATGAAGGAGCGGACACGGGACCTCCCTTCTGCTTTTTACCACATAATGAACTCAATGAAATATACGCACTGTCCAGTAGCACTTACAGCTAACTAAACTGTCTTGGATTCAATAAACCTGCCCATGGTTAAGCGACATAAGTCGCTGACTCGCAAGAGTAAGGTCGTAGGTTCGAATCCGGCAGGATGCGGTGGGTGCGCGCTACCGCAGTCAACATAGGACGAAGCGGTAATCTAGCGCTTTCTGTGATGTTTGGTGGCTGTTTGCCTGTGGCTAACTGCGACGAACATACAATAAAACCGAATACATCTAGTTCAATTTCAGGTGGGAACGGAATTGTAGGAAAATGCTGCGAAGGTTCCACCTTGGAAAACGTCGTTGATCCAACAGGGAATCCGGTGTCTTGATGTACCGAAGGAGAGCCAAATCAACACACTCGATTCACATGGTCAACCAAACAATACCCACGTGCCCTGCACTAGCAGCCCCAGCTGTGCCTGTCACGTAAAGCATAAAAGAAAACAGTAGGGTCAGTAAAGAAAAGGAAACAGCGGAGAAGCCATGCTAATCGAATATCGTAGGCCATGTTAGGGTAAGTTAAAATGAGTTGAAGAAGCGTAGGCCGTAGTAGACGAAGAAAAGCTTAAGACATGAAGGGGAAACTTTAAACGGTGGACCGAGTGCATCAAGTCGATGCTCGAACTCTTTCACCGTCGGTGCCATCACGACGTCTACAGGCCATGCGTTCCAATGATCTATGACCCTACTCCATAATCGAAAAGCTGGCGAAACCCGGTCAGACCGGGGTTTGTGCAACTTTAATGGGTGGCCACGAAGGGTTGGCACTCGAGTTGGGCGAAACAGTCCAGTCAAATTAGGACCAATCTGACCCATCAATATACGATACGTGAGTACCAAGTTGCTCCGAAGCCGCCTGTAATACATGGAAAAACTATCCAACGTACATAGCCTCTCCGGGCACGTCAGCTTCTTTAATCCGTGCACCATTTTCGTCCCGGACCGCAGGACTCGTTCAACGGCCATCTTATCACTAACCAGGCATGGAGGACAAGCCTGAACGCAGTATTCCAAGTGTGGCCTTACAAACGCCGAAAGTAGTCTAAGGAACGTGTCGGTGGTCATGATCCCGCATGATCTGCGGATCATCCACAACATGGTTTTTACATGTGCGAGCAGCTGTAGTCCAGAGTTCGCTAGAATTAAAGTCGGACGACAGCGAAACAACGAGGTCAGCTTGAAGTTGAACTCGCGGTACCTCATTGCAACCAAGCAACTAACGCATCGGCGGGTCATTCGGACCTACGCTTAAAAAGGAACATTTAGCTAAATTAACGGGCAACGGCCACAAAATTGACCAGTCCTAAAGTCTAGCCAGAGCCTTCTGTAGGGTCACTGGACCAATCGGATCGTCTAGCGTGAACCACCACTACTTACAAAAAATCTGACAAGAGTCAACTTACCTTTAAGTGTATAGTTTTGCTTTGTTTTACACGACAGGTCAACTAAAAAGGCAACTGGTGGGCCCACTATAATATGTTCCGTAGAGCAGTTTGATGGTACCGACAAGGATTCCCGACTGTATGCGAATGGTGAGCGAAGCTCAACCCCCGAATTGTGAACTGCTATACGACGACGATGCTCCGATGAGCCGAAGACAAGAACGAACGAACGGAGCTGAAATACGTGTATTCGGCGACACGACTGGAGCAAGTGTTTTCCGGTACAAGCGTACATAAAACAATAGCTTCCTTAAAGAGACGCAGTGGTGCTTTTACCGTTTGCTACGTCATGAATACGACACACGTCAAGATAGGAAAGGGAATAGAACGGTCACTAAAAATAACAAATGCTTTAAATTAACCAGTGCGGTTTCACTTGTATTACAACACGAAAAATTGGAATTACCGCGTCAAGATTTTTGTAAATGCTAAGGCTAACTGGTTAGATGCGACAAAAGTGGGCAGTAAGCACAGTGTTTTCGTTTTTACTTTTGCTGAAAGTAATTTGCCGAAGTAATTTGTTACTTTTTAGGTGTGTAAAAAATCCTCTAAGGCGGGTCTTCAAACGCTTCGGCAGTCAGCTGATTTTTGGGGAGCTTCCTGTAATGCTTCGGTGCAGCTGTAGCAAGTCAGCAGGTAACATGTTAAGCGTAGCCTAGATTGCGACTGTCGTTTCCTCCTATTTTCCTACTCAATCTCGTATTCAGTATCCTTAGAATAGCCATCTTCGTGCATGATTTTACGCCGTCCTCCACCAGCGATTAGTCGTACAACTCGCCACAAGGTGTAACACATTCAAACCTTCCATCCAGCTCCAACTCTTGCTAGGTGATTGTCCAGCCGCCTATGAAGTGTCGATTTTGCCTTTCAGACCCTTCAGTCTCTTAAGACCCACGTACGCTCCGGAATCAGAAGCCCTCGAAACCCTCAACCGGCTTCATTTTATACTACGCTGTATCCAAATGGCCTCCGGGATGGACATCGGTCTTCTGCGCTTTAAAAGTCTATTATAATGATAACATTGGGGAATTACGAGTATAATCCGAACCATGCTAATTTATTGGGTAGCGGGGCGTTTGCTTTCGTGTACAAGGGACATGTGAAAAACGTATCTTTGTTTCTAATTTTCCACTAACCTACTAGAAACCGGATGAACCAGTAGCTATCAAAATAATGAAGAAAGATACAAACATTCCTAAAAATAAAACCCTTTTGAGCAAGGAAATTAGTGTTCTTAAGGTTGGACATTTTGGTGCATTAATATTTCCTACAGGACCTGAATCATGAAAATATCGTTCGGCTTTATGATCACGGCGTAAGTTCTTTGAGTTTGCTGGATTTTCACAGGTCTCCAACAACGGTGTTTATCTGGTAATGGAGTTTTGCAATGGGGGTGATTTGTCAGAATATTTACTGGGTGAGTTATCCCTCCTTGTTACCTCATATTTTCTAGCCAAAGAGACGCTACCGGAGGACACCATACGCCATTTCTTGATTCAGATCGGTTCCGCTATGGATGCTATTAATCGAAAAGGCTTTATGCACAGGGATCTCAAACCCGGAAACATTCTTCTTAGCCATTGTCGCAACTGTGGTCAGTCGGTGGTTGATATTCCCGGTCATGTTTTAACCTTTAAACTCGGTAAGTATCCTGTCACGCTTTACCTTATCTCGAGTTTGCGTCTGCTCATGGATCTGACCGGGTGCTCAGTTTCCTTATTTAAATGCTTGACCGTCGTTCACCTTTTACCAATCCGAGTTCTTTGTATTGAGATGCCGTAAATTTAATGGACTTGATTCTCCTACAGAGCAACCATGATGTTATCATAACAAAATACCGCTGTTACTCTGCTGCACTTTGACCACGACACTTAACATGTTCAGGTCAGGTCAGATTTTTAGGGCGATAGGCTTTCGCCTAACTTGCACCCTGTTTATTTTACCGGCAGCCAAACTATGGCTTCCGGCATCTCGACGTTTGATTTACTCCTATTGCTTCTGCAAGTGTTGTATTGCGAGAACAAGAGCAATTTCATGTTTTCACGAATTATTTGGGGTGAGCGAAAATGTTCAATAATTCTGGAACTCATGGGTTCATCAGGTTGTAGAGAGCAGAGGAAAGAACCATTGTCATCTCCGTCGATTCTTATTCATTGTGAGATAGTTGCTTGTCGCGGTGTGATGAGGTTCCTCGTGAGTTCGTTGAAGTTGCAGCGGGAATAGCAGGATCCCAGCGCCTTCATTAAGTGTTTGTTTAAAAGCCTTAAAACATTCCTCCGAAGGTGCGTCAAAAATCTCCTTAGACTCGGATTCAGATGGACTGGAACGATAGGAAAATCCCTTGAGTGTTCCTTCTTGAGCAAATCGTTGGGCCAGGAAATGATAAGGTGCTAGGTCTTGATAGATCTAAAATGAAACCCGAAACACCCTGGTCAACCAATTACTGCCCACGTTCCCTGCACTAGCAGTCCCGCTGTGTAGGTTACGTGAAGTAAGAAAGAAGTAGAAAGTAAGTGGAAGATAAAGGGGAATGAAAGTCATTTAAATGAAGGATAACGCCAAAGAGTGAAGAAAATGACAGAATAAGAACTAAAAGTTTGAAGATGGATATGGTTAGGAGAAAGGAAAGGTTTTGCGTTGCCACCCAAGAGCATCTAACTGACACTCGAAACCCTTAACCGTAGGTTCGCTGACTATACTTTCTGGAAGCGAGTTCCAGCGCTCGATAACTCTACGCGATAACCGAGTTTCCGCCCTGATCCGATCAGAACGCGGCTTGTGTAGCTTCATGGGATGATCACGAAGACAAGGCAACCTAGCCGGGCTAAATAGCCAGCTCAAGTCCGGTCCAACCTTCTGTTACAATGCGGTAAGTAAGGATTAGGTCTCATCGAAGCCGTCGGTAGTGCATTGAATACATATCCAAGCTAAGTAGACGCTCGGGGTACGATTGCACCCGTAACCCCTCGACCAGTTTGGTACCTACTCTCAAAACCCTCTCAAGCTCCATTTTGTCCCGAACAAGGCAGGGCGGGCAAGCCTGGACGCAGTATTCCAGATGGGGCCGAACGAAAGCTGAGAACAGCTTCACAAATATGTCGGCAGTTAAGACCCCGAAAGAACGGCGTATTAACCACAACATTCTGAAACCCCTACTTGCGGCCTTCTTCCAGTTGTCACTAGAATGCAAAGACGAGGAATGGACGACGCCTAGGTCTACCTGGTTGGAGACAAGGGGAGTTCGACCCCACCGAGTACGTAGCTCGAAGACGGGAAAGTTGCTCCTATACGAAGGACGGAACACTTAGCCTGATTAATGGGCAGTAGCCAAAAAGTAGACCAGTCCCAGAGTCTGTCCAGGGCATGCTGTATGGCCTCAGAACCCCCAGGAACATTTACAACATTCCATAGCTTAAGGTCATCAGCAAACAATAGGGATGATACCCCAAGCTCTCCAGGGAGATCGTTTACGTAGATGGAGAACAGCATCGGTCCAAGGACCGAGCCCTGTGAGACACCGCTGAGGACCGCTTGCCTAAAAGATAAGCTGCGACTCACACGTAGACACTGTCCTCTTCCCTGCAAGCACGCAGATACCCAATGAAGGGCGCGGCCAGGTACACCGCAGAAGCTCAGCTTTTGTGATAGCCTCAAGTGGGGTACCTTATCAAATGCTTTCGAGAAGTCTACGAAAAGCACATTCACTACGTGGCCATTGTTCATTGCCTCGGCCCAAGCTTCACGAGCAACCAACACATTCGTCAGACACGAAACCCCTTCCGGAATCCATGTTGTGCACTACTGAGTAGATTAAATCTATTCAGGTGACCTTCCAACGAATCTCTCACCAGCTTTTCAAGCAGTTTGACCACGACGCTAGTCAGACTGACTGGCCTATAATTGGCTGACAGACTCCTGTCGCCATTTTTGAAGATAGGACAGATGACAGCCTCCTTCCATTCAGAAGGTAATGTACAGCTGTCAAGTGACTTCTGAAACACCATCGTCAGCGGTCCACTTAGTTCCACCGCCAACTCATGCAGAAGCTTCGGGTGAATTGAATCAGGTCCAGCTGCTTTGGAAGGGTTCAGTTCTTGCAGCAGTCTAAGGACTTGCGTTTCCACCACAGTAAACTCAGCTAAATAAGAACCCTCAGGTACTCTGGGGACAAGTTCAACGCTAGTCAACGCGGCCTCACGTACAAAATCCCCTGCATACTGCTCCCCAAGTACACGAGCCTTATCTGTGTCCGCATACGCGCGAGTTCCATCGGCCCGCATTAAAGTTGGGATTACCGAATTTGAACCACAGCGTCTCTTAACATAAGCGAAGAACTTCGGATTTTCCGAAGCTCCATCAGCCAATTCCTTTTCGTACAACAGCCGAGCTTTCCTTCAGTGTTGTTTACACCTATATCTAGCCTCGCGGTATCTATCATAGGTGCTAGTTGATGGAGCTGCACGGTAGATCCTCCAGCACCTAGAACGCTCCTGGAGCAGGTGCTTGCCAGTGGTATCTATCCACTCCGGCCACGCTCGTGTTTCCTTTCTCCTCGCAAGCGGGACGTAGGGAGTAGACACTTCCGTGAGATAAGATTTAAATTTATCCCAGGCAGCCTGAACCGTATCAAGCACCGAGATTTCGCAACGCAACCCAGAAGCATTGATACACATTGCCTGATAATTAGCACGCCATATGTTTGGATGTGGCTTAGCAATGCTCTGGTGACGCCTGGTCAGACTACACCTGAACGATAAATAAACATGGTCACTAGCACCTAAGGCAGAGCTGTAAATAAGGTCACCTACGATGTCTAATGCCTTGGCAAACACTGGATCCAAACTAGACAGGAGTTGGGCATCCATGTACCTAGTGGCGAGGTCCACGAACTGATGCAACGGTACTTGTAGCGTAAGCTCAAGTAGATCTGCACCGAAAGTACCTCCCGCCGAGTTGCAAGAAAGATAGGACGTGGCTGTATAGACCATATATTTACTTTGCGGCAGGTGCTAGAGCAGCGCCACGCATACCGCAGACCGACAATAGCTGTGTTCCTCGATTTCAAGAGTGCGTTCTATTCAGTCGATCGATCGATTCTGTTCGAAA